CACACACACACACACACACACACACACACACACACACACACACACACACACAGAGAGAGAGAGAATCAGTCACTGGAACATTTGGCTTTTGTGGTTTTTAAAGCGAAGAGGCTAAAAATGCAAAAGAATCAACCTAAAATCATTCCTGCATGACTAAATTACATTCATCCCAACATCTACTCAGGCTTTCATTAATTTTTCCTTCCTTCACACAAAACGAGGCACACTCTGTTTCTGTGTGGGCTCCGAAATGTCCTTTGTGCTCCAGCCCACTTGCTCTCAGTAAAAGATTAAAGACGGGATGCAGCACTCACCTAGGTGGTCTCCATGGAAACTGTTGTCGTGGGATGTTCTGCCGTGGGGCAAGAGGTCATGATGGGCAGCAGGTGGCCAGATTTGACCGGTCTTGCGAACACTCACAATAGTGGCCTCAGACATGACCACGTGGCCTCCCTGCTGTCGGTGATGACGCTTCTGGGACTGCGGCGTTGGCGGGCTGCTGCTGTCCAAAGAGTGCTGGGAATTCTGCGAGTTCTGGGATGGCGAGCGGCTCTTCTCTCTGAAGGGCCGACGGAAGGCCGTGGTGGGGCTGGGTGAGACGTGACTCGACTGGCCAGAGGAGAAGTCCTCCTCGCTGGATGTCAGGTTCTCGTTGGAGCTGCAGTCCGGCGTGTAGCCGCCGCCTCCACCCACATCCTCAAAACTACCTGGGGAGTAGGATCGGCGTGGCCAGGTCAGGAGGTGGTCGTCTCCTCCCCCGTGGTCTCTCATTGTGACTCCGCTACCACCTCCAGATCTACCATCTCCACCCCCACCTTCGCCCATCATCACCCCACCAACATAGACACTGGAGTAGGCCTGGAAGTCAGAGGGCTGCCAAGGTGGGGGCGGAGGCTTTCCCCCGTTGGCTCTCCCTGAATGTCTCTGATTGGGCTCTCCATCTTCATATTCTGCGTCATAGCCGCAGGTGCTCTCGGTGGAACGTCCTCTGTACACTGGCCTGGCGCGGAGCTCCCCAGCTACTGTTGCCAGGTTACCTGGGAGGGAGTGAAGAGATCTCTTTCTCTCCATCTGCATGGCCTGGCTGCCTAAGGAGCTGATCTTGTCAGAGACGTCACGGTCATTGACCCTCACCAGACCCCTCTCGTGGTGGAATTCCATGTTAGTGTAAAATGGCGGTGGTGGAGGCGGTAGCTGCTTCTCCTGACCCTTAGCTACATCACCTGCAGAGTGAGAGTTGGCCCGTTTGATCCTCTCAAAGTTGGATCTCAGAGCCGCCACACCAAGTCCCATCCCAAGTTTGTCCTTGGGGTCAGAGGGCAGATCCTTGTCTGGGGGTGGAAGGGTGGGCCTGCGGGGAGAGACTGAGATGCCGCCTCTCTGCTTGGATGGCGAGAGGCCGTCCAGGTTGTCGCAGGATGTCGACTCAACTTGCTGCGGCACCTCAAACGCTGACTCCAGTCCGTCTCCGTGGGAGGCTGACTTTCTGGCAGGTGGGGGTCTCGGTTTGGTTCTGCCTGTGCCATCTCCAAGAGGCTGGAAGCGAGTCCTGTCCATGATGGCCCCACCACCACCACCACCGCAGCCATACCCTCCACCACAAACCCCTACTCCGACCCCACCAGTCTCCTGCATGTGTGGCTGCTGGGACTCTGCCCCCTGTGTGGCTGCGGGGTCCATCCCCTCGTTCAGCGGCGTCTTCCTGAAGCCCCACCGCTGCTTGTCGTAGCTCTTCCTCTCTTTGGCCAGGAGGGTCTGCAGGTAGATCATGCGGAATCGCTCCTTGTTCACCTCCTGCTCCAGACGCCTGATGGACGCCTTGCACCTCTCCAGCTCCTGCTCGATGCCCCCTACTGACCTCAGCTCCATCTTGGGTGGCTCAGACTCTGGGAATTGCGCTTTCCACGCCTCCATGAATCCAACTGGCTCCACCATATTGTTCCAAATGTATTTCTGTGACCGACCCCCGTCTCAAGGGGAGGGAGGGAGGGAAGACGCCAAGGACGCTCAGATTGTCCCTTTCCAACACCGACTCCTTCCCAACAACAATGTCCAGCTCCAGCAGCAGAGCAGTGTTCAGAGCAGGCCTCGAGGTAACCCGTCCACAAACACACAGTCTAATTGCTGACACTTGTCGTGAGCTGCGCGGGCGCAACAATACATCCCATCATGAACAAGAGAAACCGGCTGGTCAGTCACTGGGAACGTGCTGCGCAGAGAGAGGAATAAAAAACTGGAGCAAACTTCGTGTTTCTCATGCATTATTCCAGAAAAGGTCACTTTTCAGAGGAGGAGTGAAAATCAAAAAAGGAAATCTCTCAGCCACAATGACAGCTGGTGTCTTTGTGACCAGGGTGATGTGGATCTCGGGAAGGGGGGGATGAAAAAGAGGTGAAAGTGTTTTTTAATCGCTCCTGGGTTACTCACTGTCTCAGTGTGAGGTTGGAGGTGGAGGCGTCACTCCATGGTGTCCATGAATCCCAGGTGCCGCTGCTGCTCCTCCTCGGGTCCAAGGCGCCTTTGTACCCGCAGCGCTTCAAGGAGGACGCGTGAAAAAGCGCAAAACGTGGAGGGACGACAACATGTGAGTTGCGGGTTTTACGCGGAGGAGGGAGCCGGTGCGAGGGGGACGATTTGTTCCATTATCCCATGTTCCTCCACGGCACTGTTAGCGGTGCTGGTGGTGTTTCTCCTCCTCTGTGCTCCTCCAGCGTCTTCGGCCGTGATGGTGCCGCTGTGTGCGCTCCCATCTCAGGCCAGAGGGGCTGCGAGGCAGTGGGAGGGACCAGAGTGACAGGGAGTCTGCTGGTTAAAGAGACAGACTCACCCCCTCACCTGAACGCAGCCATTCATTTTCTTCATTAGTCTTAATTTAAGAGAAGGACTTTAACTGATTTAATCACATTCAGACATTTTCTTTATCCACTGTAGTGCGTAAATTGTGCGTCTCATCCAACAGCAACATATACTCTACAAAATCTGAATGTCTCACAGGCAGAAACCTGCTCTATACTTTACATAACAACTATGTGTACAATATATATATTCTTATACTGTATGGAAGTTAATGTGAACAGTATTATAGAGATAAATGACTCATATCTGGAATATCTGGTGGAATATCTGGATTCAGTATATTAGTAACTATAGTATAGTGTAGTATATGATACTATATACATAAGACATAAGTCAGTCCTTTGGTTCTAGCTGTTTGTTGCTGTGTTTTCTTTCATTCTGAACATGTACATGCAACATGTGTGATACACTGTTCATGTTCTTATGTGCTCATGTGCTCATGCACCATCACAGCTTCCCTTTTCCACCTTTTATTTCTGTCTTTCTCTTGTCTGTCTTTGCATTTTTCAGCGATATTTTATTATCATTACTTTTCTTCATTCTCCTTTTTTCATTCAGCAAACATTACATATTGTAAGTGATAATACAATTATTAATTATTTTCATGATACAAGCAAAAGTAAACGTTTGTGAACTCTGGAACTCTCACAATAAAGTTTTTTTTTAAAGCAGCAACTTGCCATGATATCTCAGGATTAATATTTCCACTTCTATGTTCTTTTAAACTATTAATACAATCGACATTACTTCCTCTGTTTTACTTTCAAAACTTCTTCTGCCAATATGGTTGTGTGGTATATTTAGCCAAATGCTGCCACCTACTGGGTTATTTTTATGTGTGGCTTTTTATTTTCTGTGGTAAAACCAACTTCACCACTTAAAAACTTAATATAACTACAATAACTAGAGGCACAACAGTCCCATTATGAAACCAGATTTATACCACAAATTGAGACTCCAGACTTTTACGTGGATCTGCAGCAAATTGCACACAGTCATGTGCAGGAGACATGGAGCAGGAGACATGATTCAAATACTATAGTTTTATTTACCTGAAACCACAACCTCAGAAACGCATGTACAATCACTATTATTAACCTTTAATAATGATCGTCTTTTTACATATGGTTAATATTGTTCTTCGACCAGGAGTTGCTGAGGGAGCTGCACAGCCACCCCCCACATTAGATCACAGTTTTACAGCAGTTGATAAAGATATATAGTGGTGATGATGATGATAATAATGTAGAGGAAATAAGAAAACACAGTTGTATTGCAGGATTACCAATGAATCAAAGTGTCAGTCTGTAGTGTCCTCACAGAAAAGGACTTATTCATCTATGTAAATGGTTCAGTGATCGGCCGACACAGGGGGAAGAATATTAAAGATACGAAAATAATCAAAACTCAAGTAGAGCACAGTCAAGTTCAACACGAGTCCTTTCTCATCGTCTAAATATTGTGCAAATTACCCAGAGCATTACAATAAAAACAGTGATTTTTTTCCCTTATATCTATGATATAGTCATCTTAAAACCTTCTTAACGTTATTGGAGTATTATACATTAGAATCTATAAATACAAATTGCAAAGCCTACATACAGCTGAAACGCATGCATATTTGTACATTGATGTACAGCTAAGACCATTTAACCCAGTGTGTTTTTTCTATTTCAAAGATTCTCTAAGCTACCATGAAAGTCGGAAACAAATTCTTCATGCAAGAAGGGAGGAGGAGGGTTTCAACAACTTCCCTGCACACAAAAACTGGAAACGGTGTCATATTGATTTAGCGTCTGCACACAGAGGTATAGTTATGTTAAGAAGTGGAGTGTGTGTGTGTGTGGTGTTTTGTGGGGCACAGGGAAGTTTTTCCAGCCCACCCACTTATGTATTTGGTCTCATGACTGTGAAAACGTGTATTTTTCTTTTTTGTTGTTGGTGCAACGCTACACACACTCACACACTGCTGGTCGTCATGGTGTCAGGTGTGTGAAGTTTAGAGTGAGCACAGATACCGGATGGTCGGACGACTCCAGCCTCGGAGCCCACGTTTTAAATTTGATACTACTTTTTATGAAAGCCAACCTAAAAAGGAAGAGAAGAAAATCCGTCAGTACAAAACACTTTATAAACTATTTTAAAACCTTTTCTACCATATAACCAGAGACAGGATTTCGCTTTGTGATTATAAGCAAAGTGCCAGAGTGGTGAAAAGAACAGCACACGGTGACATTCACAGTGGTGGCATGTGGTCGACTTCCAAGCCAAGTTCCTCTTATTCCCTCTAAGAAATGGCAACCCATAATGCACTGGGAATAACAGTTTAAACTCTCTTCCGTGAACCTTATGCCTTTAAGTTACCTGGAAAACATTATTTCCCTAAAATGACAATTTAAAAAGTAGAGAAATCTATTTCAGGGAGTTTCTTCTTGTTTCACTGGATTCTACTGTCATGTGGCAACACTAATTAGAGTAGGAAAAAGATGGATACTCACTCTAGTGACAGGGGAGCCAATGGAAAGCATTGAGGGAGAAAGCACACAGTTGTTGTCAAGTGGAACACGAACACACACTGCAAACAAACCCAGGCTTCTGTCACTGCAAATACATGCTTTTTAGACAAGAGGGACGGTGTGTGTGTGTGTGTGTGTTTCTCACACTTGTAGAAATGTCCATACAAAAGGATGCTCAGGATAAGTGCAGATGACTGTATGGGCTCTGATCCAACATGAACACACACACATCCAGAGTATGGTACACCCAGCACTACCTCTACTTTTTAAAGCCTTTAAGTCAAATATACACGTGATCCGTTTCACTGCGTCGTAAATTTCTGCGTCCCGTCATGTTGTGCCAAGAAAACTGAAGCATTCATGTCTGAAATGATCTGTATTCAAGTATCATATGCACATACAAAAACACTGGATGCGATAAGTGTTGGAAACCATTCTTTCACCTCTTGAATAAAGACAGAAAACACTTTGATTCAAAGGGTTCCAGAGTGTATTTTTTTTCCTTGAAGTAAAAAACAACATTTTGTGTTCTTATTTGCATTCCAAGTTCATTTGGAGAATTTCCATTAGTTTTCTTAAGATTTTTAATATCATCGTCCTTTGAATCAAACACCATGGAGATGGTTATTAACATACGACATCCCCATTCAGTTCTGTCTCCAAAGCAAAAAACAAATAGTTAATGGTCGAAAAAAAATCATCAATACAAACAATATATATCCTTAAAAGTGTTAGAGTGGAGGAAGATTGTGTTCTTTGTTTTCTGCACAAGCAAATAGGGGCACACCTCAGATGTTACGCTTTAGCAAGAGCATTGAAGAAAAAGCATCTAGAGATGAGTGGGAAAAAAAATCTTTTTTGTCATATTGAGGTAGCTGTGCTCTGCCCAGTGCAGAAAAACTGGCTTATTTTTCAAATCATATAGTAAAAAACCATCCATGTAGTTAATTTACACTCTAACAATGGGAAAAGGGGGGGACATATACAATTAAATTAGAAATGAGAAACCATATACAGTTCATGCTTGGTCACGGGACATGCGGCTTTTGCTTTCCAGGATTCTTTTTTTTTCTTTTCATTTAAGTGAAGCATTCAAACTCCCAAACCTTTCCCCCCATCCTCATGTGTCGCACGCAGGTCGTCCTCTCTGAAAGAGTTCTCAGTTTATACTGAAGACACAATGGTAAACATTAGAAAATAAATCAAGGCGGTATGTCTAAGCCACGCTGGTCAAACAATTTACAAAGCCATTAAAAAAAAAAAATTGCATAAAATAGTGTTCATTCTCTGTACAGATCAATGATTTTCTGGTATCTTAAATTTTCTTTCATGAGGGAATCTTAGCAAGAACAATCTGCTGTTGTTACTGTAGTGACATAAGATATTCCCAAAATCATTAAAAATATAAACCTCAAAAAGGCAATATTGACAAAAAAATGGCGACAGTATATTTCCTTCAAAACCAGCAACAAAGTCCACAGCTATAGGAGTGATGGTCTTCTGACACTCGCGTTTAAAGCCTCACCCGTTCAAAGATCCTATCCCGACTCAAAACAGGTAACTTCTCAATGTTAACACCTTATATTATTCATTACGTTTTATGTGTTAAAGTTGGTCCTTCTCGTTTACACACAGCAGGCACGCACAAGAACACACTCAAGCTCTACAAACGCGCACACACACACACTAGCTATGCACATGTGGGAAAGGCAAAGAGGGAGGAGAGAGGGAGGAGGAGGAGGGAAGAGGAGGAAAGAGTGACGTGATGGTGGTAAGGAAGGGGAGGGGGAGAGGTGTGGAAAGGTCGAGGTTGTGCTCAAGTCAGTCAGGACCAGAACATGTCGGCCATGTTAGTGTCGGAGCTGTAGATCCAGAGCACCAAGGGGAGGGAAACGGCCACGAAGGGCCAGGAGATTCCCTCCATGCATGCAGACAGTGAGCAGCCTTTGGAGCTGGCAGGCTTATCCAGCTCTTTACCGGGCTCCAGGTAGTTCCTCGCGGCAAACTTGAGCATCTCGTCCAGTAGAATGACGGGCAAAGAGATCTTGAGCACCATCAGCCACTGTGTCAGGTTCAGAGGGGTGATCTGGAAGATGATCTGGAAAGAAGAACACAACACAAATTTAACTTAAAGAAAATATAAATATAAAGTGTTAAACTCTTCACAAAGTTGCTTATTTACAAAATAGAATAATAAATAAAACCTAACCACAATAATTTAACACTAAATAACAGCTTTAGTGCTTAATACAGCAAAATAACCAGCTCGAGACCTGTCAGCAACTATCTCCCCACCGCTGAGGAGAGGGACACCCAGGCTCAGGCACTTAAACTAAAACGTTAAACTAAAAAGAAATATTTCTCACTGGAAGAGGCTCCACATAGAGGATGAGGAAGT